CTTCTCATAAACAAATGCTATGAGATCCAACTTTAAAATATAACCAGATGTTGAACCACTTTCTAGCACTCCATTCCCTACATCCTGATCCAAGTTATCATCATCTCTCACAGATTGCTGCAATAGATTCCTAACTGGTCTCCTTGCATCTGCCTTACCTCTTTGCAGCTTTTTTCAATGCAGAACCCAGAATAATCCCTTAAAAACTCAAAAATCAATGCTGACCATACCATTCTTCTTTTCAAAACCCTGTAGTGTTTTCCTACTTCAGTTAGTAAGAAAATAAAGTCTTGATGGGTACCTACAAGTGATTGCATTATTTGGCTCTGTAATACTTCTCCGACCTAAGAGTCAAAGGGAGCACATAAACAAGTCTAGTACCTGCTAACACTAACCGATGGAATAAATAAAGGGGAGAGTGATCCAACATGGGAAGTGAGATACTCAGCAGACTCATAGAATGGCAGATGTCCTAAATAGCACTCTGGCCTCAGAATCAGCCCTAAAGGCATTCGGATCTGGCTGAAAAGCCCATGAGAGTATTTCAGGCATGGAAAGCCAAGACATTCTGGCAAAAGATCTCTGCGAGTGAGATCCCAGTGGAAAGAACAGGTCTTCAAAGAAGGAGGTACCTTTCTCTGAAGGGAGGAGAGAACCTCCACTTTGACTATGACCTTGTCTAAACAAGATAAGAATCGGAGAACTCAGAGGGCTTCCATAGCCTTGGAAACTCATGACCGGAGCATAGGGAGACTACTGATGCCATAGACAGGAGTGTCAATTTGTAAAGTCAACAACAGGAGTCACTGTGCACTTACTCCTCATGTAGGATCTCTGTCCTTAATGTGCTGTGTATTGAGATTTAATGCTATAACGAGTACTCAAACAATATATTTCACTTTGTGTTTCTATGGGGGTGCAAACTGTTGAAATCTTTACTTAATGTATACTAAACTGATCCTCTGTAAAAAAAAAAAAAAAGAAATTATCAACTCCCAACTTGACTCTCACTGGGATTAAACATGACAATAGGTCTGATCTGATTTCATCATCATTTAAAAAAAATCATCTATTATTTTTCACTTTATGTTTCTGTGTGGGAGCAAACTGTTGAAATCCTTACTTAAGGTATACTAAGCTGATCTTCTGTATATTAAGATAATCGAAAATGAATCTTGATGTGAATGGAAGGGGAGAGGGAGTGGGAAAAGGGAGGGTAGTGGGTGGGAGGGACGGTATGTGGGGGAAGCCATTGTAATCCATAAATCGTACTTTGGAAATTTATATTCATTAAATAAAAGTTAAAAAAAAATACTTCTCCGACCTTATCTATTACTCTCTTTTTACATCACTCCAGTTACACTGGTCTTTTAAAGATTTATTTATTTAATTTATTTATTTGAAAGGCAGATTTAAGGGGGTGGTGGAGGAAGCAAAGGGGAGTAAAAATGGAGAAACCGAGATAGAGAGGGAGACAGAGTGAGAGGGAGAGAGAGAGGGAGAGAGAGAGGGAGAGAGAGACAGAGAGATTCCATCCACTGTTAACATTCCCCAAATGGCTGCAACAGGCTGCATCTGATGCTGGTTCAAGTCCTGGCTGCTCTAATTCCCATCTAGCTTCTGCTAATGTATCTGGGAAGGCAGCAAAGAATGCAACAAGTTGTTGAGTTTCCTACTACTCATTTGTGAGACCTGGATGGTGGTGTTCCAAGCTCCTGGCTTCATCCTGGTATGACTCTGGCTGTTGCAGATATTTAGGGAGTGAACCAGGGGATGGAAGATATTTCTCTTCCTTTTTCTGTCATCCTCCCTTTCAAATAAATAAATAGGTAAATCTTTTAAAAAATGTGAACTTCAGAATATAAAATATGGAATGAAGGGAGATAATCTCACAGATGTATAGATTCATAGAAGCTCTGCAACATTAGTTATCCAGAAAGAAATGGAAAGAAACATGAAGAAGACTCATTTCCCATCAGACTAAGGAAGCACTATGAACACAATAAGAATATATAGAATAGAATCTCATAATTTGTAATAATTATAAAGTCACCATGAGCACTGAATTATTAGCAAGGGGAAATTTCAAGGAGAAATACAATGTGAGCACCCTTTGAAACTTTGGTTATAACGTTTTCACCAACCAATTCATGTGTATGTGTGTGTGTGTGTGTGTGTGTGTGTGTGATTCCTTAACATTAACCTTAAGCTAACAACATTATAACCCATGCCTGAATGAAGTTTATCTAGCACACATATTTTCTTCATAGATACAGTACAGTCTTATTGTGCTTAGAAATACAAGATAGTACTTCAACACCATTCCTGGGGGACATTTTAAATGACCAAACAACAAAAATAATAAAAACATAAAACTATGAAAAGTGTGGCACTAAATAGGTTGTGAGGAAAAAAATTTGCTTATAGTACAAGAGCTGAAACAGAAAGTAGAATAACATCTTGTTCAACCTCAGCTGGGAACCTGCACACTGGGTGACTCAAATTTTTTACCACTTTATTCATATTGCCAAAGGATCACAGATTCTGAGGTTACAAATTCTAGTGAACAGGCACATTTGCAAATTTGGAATCTGTGAATAATGAAGATCTATTTATCTGGAAGTTATTGCTATTCTGAACCAAGAATATTTGGATGATATCCTATAACTAACCCTGGAATCTCAGGATAGTAGCAGGTTTGTAGAAAAGTCTTTGCAGGGGCCAGCACCGTGGCATAGCAGGTAAAACCACTGCTTGTGGTGCTGGCATCCAATACAGCAGCCAGTTTGAGGCCCAGCTACTCCATTTCTGATCCAGCTCTCTGCTGATGGCTTGGGAAAGCAGACAAAGATGGCCCAAGTGCTTGGGCCCCTGCACCCACACAGGAGATTCAGAAGAAGCTCCTGGCTCCTGGCTTCAGATTTGCCCAGCTCCAGCCCTCATGGCCACTTGGGGAGTGAATCAGCAGATGGAAGATCTTATTCTCTCTCTCTCTCTCTCTAAGATCTTACTCTCTCTCTCTCTCTCTCTCTGTTTCTCTGTCTCTCTCTCTGTAGCTTTGCCTTTCAAATACATTTTAAAAAAAAGAAAAGTCTTTGCAAAGGACTTAAATCTATTTAATTAGCCCAAATACTTGTCTGAAAATACCAAATATCAACTACATAGAGCACATACTAGAAATATAGCTACTTACCAATACTTTTAATAATTTCTCAAAAAGATATGAAGCAACACTAAATTCTGTTCAATTATTTCACAAGTCCTAACTATAATTAAAGGAAGATAACCTGATTTTATAAAATGAAATAATCTTTGTCTCTCTCTCTCTCTCTCTCTCTCTCTCTCTCTATATATATATATATATATATATCATGCTATATGAACTCACTGCATTTATATCAGATATAAGGGAAAGGAACAGAATAAAACCATTGTGGACATACATATTTCCCTCTTTAGAATATGTATTTTTTCTCAATCATTAATTCAGTTTATTTCATTCAGTGAAAGAGCACTTCATACAGTTCATGCCATTTAATTACAGATAACATTTATTTGCCAATTATATTGGGGTCTGTAAAAACTATATACAAAGAACCACATAGTTAAAGCCAGGAAATAGATTGCTGAAACTACATGTTCTATTTTTTTTCAAAGGGACATGAAATAAAAGCAGGATATCTGAGACCCATTCTTCTAGAATTAACTAAAATTCAATAGTAATTTTTATGAAACTCTTTTGCACAATACATCTTCTTTCATTTCTCCAAAACTTTGCTTATGCAATTAGTTGTATTTTTCACCTTTGGGAGAAAAAGTGTGCATTCTAGCACATTAATTTTTCCTTTTTGAAAATAACTTTTAATATTTTTATAATAAATTTGGAATGGCACTACAAAATAAAAGTCAAAAACTAAAGAACTCATTCCTTTGAAACACACAAGTATTTCTATCTTTCTATATTCTATATATTTCTATGACTAAAATGCTTTCTATATTTCTATTACTATAATGGTTCATATATGATTAAAAATAATAAAATAATATTGGCTTCCTGTAATACTTAACTACATGGTATTGTGAAGTCATTTTCAGTTATCCACAATGAAAATTCTTTTTTTGACAGGGAGGATTTTTTTTCTTAAAAAGTATTCTAATAAGAAAGGTAGTATAACTACTATCTACTTAGTAATTAAAACAAAAATCATTATTCAAAAAATCTGTAATTATGCAATCATAAAGATATCAGAGTCACTAAATCAGGAACAATTTCACTAGCACCAAACTGATTAATTGTTTATCATTAGTCCACAGATACCAATGGCTCACAAGAGAGTACTTTACACTGTTAACTGTATCAACAGCTGATAGATGCTCAGTTACTAACTGGTATCAAAAGTAATATGTTTAAATAAAAATAGTATGTGTATTAAACAGGCAATTCTCAATTTCAGATGTATTCACTTATGGAAAAAGATGATTTTAATAAACTTTTTGGGTATTAAAAACAAATTTCCTTCTCTTCGAGCCATTTACCTCTTTTAAATTTCTTATTCTTCAAACATTTGCATATTTCTCCCAATTACAATAACACAATTCAATATGAAGACAAATTTCTGTGTGAAAGGAATGGCTCTAATTTTAAAAGCAATAATAAAACATCATCAACATTTAAAGTCTGCAAAGTTTAAACTATTCTCAAGGATCTCAGTTATTTCCAGGGCCCAAAAGCCACGTAATAAAATTAAGGCTACAAACTGAAAAAATAAGGCACAGATATAAAAAAAAATAACAATTTATGCGGCAACCAAAGTTGTTGACTATGGGATACCCAAGGCTTATATGATTCTGAATGTTTTATATCAAATTTCTAGATGGTACTTTGTTAAATATTCATAAGTGTCTAGTAATTATAAAGAACATGTGGCATCTGAGTAGTAATGCACTTATATGCTTGGTGTTAGCACTCTCTGTATTACATGACTATTAATTATCTTTACCTTAATTGCACTGTTTTCTTTGAATTCTAGTAGATTCTATCCTGGGTCTAAAGTATAGGTAGTAGGTTGAGCTTGAATCTCTTTGAAAATAACTGAAGGGTTGTGCTGAGGTTGAATATGGGAAACAATAAAAAGAGAGACAGAAAATTAAATAACGACTAATAAGAAAGGAGAAAGAAAAGTAACAGAGAAATACTGTTGTTACAAATATTAATTAAAAGAGGAAAACAGAAATAATATAAGGAGAATATGCTTGCCAAATACATGTTTATAATATTTGACATAATATTTTCTCTCTCTGAAATTAACAATGGTTTATTAAAACTATATTTATTAATGTAATGGTCAAAGGAAATTTTAAGATGATCTTTTCTCAGCTGTTCATTAAGACATGCTAAAGGACAGGCCATCTAAAGGCCAAAATTAAAAAAAGACTTATTTCACAAATCTCATGTATAGTTTTTAACAAGTTAAATAATTCTACCTTTTTTCCCCTCCAATTTATAAATCCATGACTCTCTAAACATTGTATTTTACCTTCAGTTAATAAAACTTCCAGTTAGGTAGATGTAAGTACTGGATAATTTCTTTTTATAAAGTTTTAAATCTACAAAAAAGAAATATAAGATTATTAATTTCTGAGTAGTATGTATCATTGCCTAATTCTGATTAAGCTTTGGCTTATGACATGATTTAAAAATTGGCCAAGTGGAACTCAAAAGGCTTCCATAGCCTTGGCAACTCATAACTAGAGCCTAGGGAGATTACTGACGTCATAAACAAGAGTGTTAAATTGTTAAGTCAACAACAGGAGTCACTGTGTACTTACTTCTCATGTGGGATCTGTCCTTAGTGTGTTGTCCAATGTGAACTAATGCTATAACTAGTGCTGTGACAGTGTTTTACACTTTGTGTTTCTATGTGGGTGCAGACTGATGAAATCTTTACTTAATATATACTGAATTGATCTTCTGTATATAAAGATAATCGAGGATGAATCTTGGTGTGGATGGAATGGGAGAGGGAGCGGGAGATGGGAGGGGTGTGAGTGGGAGGGAAATTATGGGGGGGAAGCCATTGTAATCCATTAACTGTACTTTGAAAATTTATATTTACTAAATAAAAAATTTAAAAAAATTGGCCAAGTGAAATTAGTTACCACAGAAACTTACTGTTTTGTTTCCAGGCAACCAAGATACACAATTGTGAAATAAAATTTTAAACTTTTGGCAAAATTTTGATTTTGAGACATGTGGTCGAAGTGATTATGGCAATGAAAATTTCTGTGAAAAGTCTGACACACTTTGAACACTTTGCTAACATGTAGTGCCAAGACTGTTCATGAGATGAGGTCCACACAGTACCATTTTTTGTACAATTCTTATTGTGAATTTGTTTTTCAATTTAATGTCTCTGATTCCAGGTTTATAGTGGATTAAATGTTATGTACATCTTCACATGCCTTACCTAAGATCCATTTTAGAAAATAATTTTATACACAGAATTATCAACCTCAACATACCTCAACTGTAATTGACCAACACTGGTCTTTAAAATTGGGAGGTTTAGAGGAGAAGAAAGCTTATGACAAACCATCTAGACCAGGGCAAAGCAAATCAGATAGGCAATTAAGCTTATATACTTACACTTTTAGACTTTTTTTCCTGATATACTGCTGATCTTCCTTGAAGATAAGTGTTTCTGTCTGACTGAATAAACCATTAATAAAAATCATTCTAGATCAGACTCACTGTCCATCCAGATCAGTGTTCTGATTCTGATATGTCAGTTGTATAGCACTAAGTGCAGAGTAGGCAATCAACATTGCATTGAAATGTTCTTTAATTAAGCAGGAAAATGTGAATTCTAAGGCACCAATCCCAATAAAAGTCAGCTCTTAAACAAAACACATACCAATTTAACTACTTTCTGAATATTAATTATCAGAACATAAAAATTCAACATACAAAATTGTACTTTTTTATCTTAAGACAGGTATTTCTACCCTATGTCTCAGTAATTCCACTTGCAGTAATACATTAGAGAAATCATTCAAATATCTACAGTGAGATACATGACACACTGAGTCACTGAATATTGCTTGCAGCTGAAAAAAATGTGAAAGCAACCTACATTCTCATAAAGAGGAAAATGGATAAATCAAATGTACCATATTTCCAAGACACATTCCTGGATATATATAAAAGTAAAGACATAACATAAGTAGATATCAAAAAACAATTTTGAGTAAAAAGTACGGAATCTGTGCATGTACTAAAGTAGGATATTAGCATGCATTCAAAATCACATAAAAATACTGCACACTGTCCATAAACAAACATTTTATGAATGGAAGATGATACATGGTGCTTCAAGAAATAGCAATTTCTAGGAAAAAGAGTGAAGAGTAAGACTACAGTTAAAGGGAATTTAACTTCATCTACAATGTTTTGTTTATTTTAAAATGGACTTGAAACAAACATGACAAAGTATTAACTGCTGTAAATTGCTGGAGGGAATTAAAACATGTCTAAGATATTATTCTTCATAATTTCTATATATTTTTAAAGTTTCTCATAAACTGGCTCTTCTAAAGCTACAAATAAAATCATTTAATGAGGTAATATGCTATAATACCTATGAAAAACAACAAAATTTAATACCTTCATCACTGAACAGTATTAGGTACAATAGTATCACCTACTCTAGTTGCTTGAGATCTTAGAGATGAAGTTATGTTTATTGCCATACACTCTTTGATTCACATAGGTTGATTACAACTTTTATATATTCTTTTCACACAAGAATATTAAATAGTCTCTTCTGATAAAAACCCTTCTGGCAGTTGCTTCAAGAATTTTTCTCTGGCCTCTCTCTAGATATTAATGCTTTCTCAAATAATGGGGTACAAAAATATCTATTTTTTTCTAAGGTATCATGTTTTTACAACAGTATGACTTCTTGTTTGAAGTATCATTCCTGATGATCCTTACCCCATTACTGAGGATGTTTTTACTAGAGGCAATTTTCATAGTTATCAATTCTGAGACCCTCTATTCTAAGCATTCTAACGTCACATAAGGATCTCATTTAATCCTCATAATAAAACTATGAAATAAATATTAACCATGTTGTTACAAATGAAGAAGTCAAAATATGAAGATGTTAATAAATTGCCCAAGATAATCAGCTATTAAAAATAAGAACCAGAAATTCAAACAAGCTCTGAAAAAATCTAAACACCCTATGCTTCTCACTAACTCCAAAGTGAAAGATTTTACAGTGCCACCAAATCCTTTCCCTGGATTCTAACCTTCCCAGTTTTAGTAAAGTGGTTAAAAACCGAGGGATGATATTATTGCTTTTCTTTTACTATGGTTCTTCCATAATGGTTAAAAGATGTTTCTGGAGGTTTTTGTTTGTTTGTTTGTTTGTTTGTTTTTTGTTTACCATAAAGGTAGTGTTACAAGATTCTAGAGTTAAGTAAGTGGCTTGTAACTGGAAAAGATTTTGCACTCTAGAAGATACGTGGCAATATACAAAGAAATATCTGGCTGTCTCAACTTTAGGTTGGAGGGGCTCACTAATATCTGGGGGATAGAGAACAGGGCTGCTAAACATCATACACTGCACAGGACAGCAACCCAAAGCAAAGAAATATCCATCCAAAAAGTTTCTATAGTGCTGGCTGCAAAGTTTTGATCTAGAGGTAAGGAATTGTGGACCACATTATAGCTGATATTCAATAAAATAGTATTCAAACACCATGGAATGTGTGTTATAAAATGTAAAGAACTCAAATTTAAAAAGCATACTAGGTTCTGTTCTAAGCAAACACCATATAACAGTAAAAACAATGGGAATGACTGTCAGAATTTTTATCTAAGACTCCAGAATCAATCTAGGATAAAAGAGTGGTAATAAAATAGAAGTAAATAAAGGCTGTTTCTGGAATGAAAGGTGTACGTTCTGTGGCAAGTACAATGTCATACAAGAGTACAGAATAGTATTTTTAAAGAAAACTATCTTTTTTGATTTTACCTTGAATTCACCTGGCCCACTGATAAAAGTTAAGAAACTCTTAAGAATTCTTGCTTTTTCTTATTTTCTTAAAAATTTTCTTCAAACAGCTCCTGGGTGAAGAAATAATAGATAAAGAAAACATTTATTAAAAGGAGATTATCTGAGCACTTACGCTTGTATCAAAGAAGTGATGAATCACACAACTCACAAAACTAATTTGAAATCATCTCAAAGAAGGAAAGATTCTCTAAGAATAGCAAGTGTTTTCTTCTTTCTAACTGTATTATTCTTTAAGAATCAATCATCTCAGCTAATGATAACAAATAGCATTTCCTTTTGATTATTTGAATTTTGAAAAAGTTTCCTAAAAAAAATTTTTTAACTCTAGAGTGCTCTGTTAAAATCATAGGTTTCTTAAAAAAATTTTCTGATAACAATATATTATAATCACCAAATATCAGCATTTATTATTAAAATAAGTGTGAACTCTTATCACATTCAGATATGGTAAATACATGGATGCATTTTTACTAATTGTCAAATACATTTTTTCATTAATTTGTATAGATAGGAGCTACAGAAAACACAAAATCTCAATGAGGTGAGGTAAAGAAAATATGGGGTGCAGAACAGAAGATTGAAGAGAAAGAATCTGAGAGGCTGCTACAGTTCATCTGAGTTCTTGGTTACCCTTATTCCAACTCAAACCTAAAATAGAACAATGAAGCCAGCAAGGTATTCTTTCCCTGTAGAGGAGAAAAAAAAAATCAAAGTTTTCTTCTTCTTTTTTTTAATGAGAAACAAAGACCCTCAGTTTATAACTCTCTAGGAATTCTAAGAAACTGAACAGATTTCTTCACATAGAAAACAGGAACACCGCTGGCCTGCTGCATTACTTCCTCACTTTATTCTTATACTAAGCAGGCAAGTGACTTATGAAAAGGAAGCAACAGTAGTGGTTCTGTTATTCCTCCTTACCAGTCTGCTATACACATTCAAAACTACTGGGTTGGAAACCAAGATTACTGTAGGGAGCACTGACTCTACTTACTCAGAACTTGCTTAAGCAAACCAAATAATTTCCCTGAGATTTTCTGTGGGTTTTTTAATTGTTCTGGTGAAAAGATGATAATATGCCTGCTCCAGTTACCTCAGATTACATTAAGTGCAAAATGAAATTATGTATGTGAGGATTTTGTGAATGATTAAATTCCATCCAAATTAAGCTATTTCATGAGATAAAGTACTCATATGACTTTATATTAGCCTATGCAAACAGAGGCAAAATATAGACCCCCGAGAGGCACTCCAAATTTACTCTCATACAATCTACAGAGGTGGGGAACAGCCTTCTGTATTTTTAATAAGGACACCATAGTTTCAGAAATACTATTAATACCACACAATTCTCATTTCTAGTTGCATCCTTTCTTTTCGTGTCAATAGGAGTTTAACTTCTAGGCATCATCAAATTTTCTAATCACCCTAAAGTCATTTGCTGAAAGAGACAGAAGTTGTTGACACAAAACAATAAATCTTTAGATTCTTAACTGCAATTGTTTGAGGACTGTTTCAACTAAAGAAAAGATTGTTCAGCAACACACTGGATTACAAATACATAGAGAAATAAGAATAATTAATCAACAAAATACTGCAACTTCCTGGAGAATTATTAAAACTTATCACATTAGCTTTGTTCATGCCAAAGGTTAACATTCGATAGTTCTCAGTTAAGATACTGCATTGGTTTTTTTACATCTCAATTATTTCAACCAAAATTCACAGATCTTAAAACATAATCCTTCTAAGTATCCATGGGTGAAATTTACTGCATCTGAGTCTATCAATATATGACTGGTACTTCTTTAGTTAAATCTTTTTTTTTCTTTTAAAGATGTATTTATTTATTTGAAAGAATTACACAGAGAGAAGGAGAGGCAGAGAGAGAGAGAGAGAGAGACAGAGAGAGAAAGGTCTTCCACCCGCTAATTCATTTCCCAACTGGACACAATGGCTGGAGCTGCCCTGATCTGAAACCAGGAACCAGGAGCTTCTTCCATGTCTCCCATGTGAGTGGAGGGGCCCAAGGACTTGGGATCACCTTCCACTGCTTTCCCAGGTCATAGCAGAGAGCTGGATTGGAGTGCAGCAGCCGGGACTCGAACCGGCGCCCGTAGAGGATGCTGGCACTGCTGGCGGCAGCTTTATCCGCTATGCCGCAGCATCGGCTCCTTTTGTTAAATCTTTATATAAACAGTTAAAAGGTCCCAAAAGAACTTTTTGGAAAATTCTACAGCTATGGTCGCTATCATTGTTGCCCTATTCCAAGAGTGAAAGAAGAAAACTGTAGGTGCCTGTTTAGATGACACAGGGTAGAAAGTGTTGGTAAATCTTGTAGGGAGGAAGGAACAAAGAGAGGGTCCATGATAAGCCAAAACAATAAGGAACATGAATAAACATAAACAATGAATGAATAAACTATATCTGCAGAGATAGTAAAATCATTACTTTTAAGAAAGCAGACTTCTGGGGCCGGCATTGTGGTTCAGTGGGCTAATCTATCCCATATCAGAGCACCAAACCAAGTCCCAGCAGCTCCACTTCTGAACCAGCTCTCCACTTATGTGCCTGAGAAGGCATAAGAACAGTGTTTGGGTCCCTAACACTCATGTGGGAGAAAGGATGGAGTTCCTGACTCCTGGAAAAGACTGGCCCAGACCCGCCTGCTGCAGCCACTTGGGGAATGAGTCAGCAGATAAAAGATTATATTCATATTCTCTCTCAATCTCTCTCTCTTTCTCTCTCACTACCTCAGTGTTGTGTTGCATTTCAAACAATTCTCTTAGAAAAGAAGGCTTTTTAAGAGCTAACATTAATTATTAATTAGATAAAGTATGCATATCCAGATGTCACCCTAAATGGTTAGGGACTAAAAGAAGTTCTCGGTGTTAAGTGTGTAATCAGAGTATGTGTTAAACTAAGAGTAATATGCTCTTATATGGGCTGTACTGAGCTAGGAACAAAGCAAGTATCATGAGGAGAACAGATCAATTACAATGTACTATTTATGCAGTGGAATACTATACAGCAATGAAAACGAATGAACCATAGCTACAGCCAATAACTCGGATGAGAAAAATTGGGAGTTACGACAGCAAGTCACAAAAAAAGAAAAGCAGCATGCTTTCATTTACACAGAGTTAAAAAAATGCAACAATAAATAAATAATATACTGTTTAAGGATGCAAACACTATGGTAAAGATAAAACCAGGGCAGTAATACATAAATGTAACAAAGAAGCTGCCTATAAAGAGGGAAGGAATATGACTGCAAAGGAAATGATAATTATTTTTCTTAATATCGGGTGGTAGGTCACAAGCACGTAACGGCTGTATTGCTTTGGTTTACTTTGTCCACGGTTTCCAAATATTATTTATAGGTATTCAATATTTACTAAAAACAACTAAAATTTTATATTCCTTCTATATTTTGTCTGTAAAAGTGTTATGATTTTAGCACACTTCAATTTCTCTTCAGCTGTAACTGAATATACCTCTACATGTACTTTGAGTACATCTGTTATCGTCCCTAAGAGAAAAGTCGTAAATCCAGCTTCAAAAACTCAAATATTCCAGAAAAACCATGAGGGCGATTTTTGGAGTCAAAGGCTGATAAAATGGATATATTATTTCTTAATCTTCTAAGTGGGCATTATAGGTTACTGTTCTTTAACTTCAGATGAACATCAACAACAAGCACCCTAATAGAAAAGTACCTCCAGATCTTAATTTTAGTAAGAAAACAAATCCTATCCTGAAGCTCTCCATAAAGTCCACAGTGTGCAAAAAACATTTTAAAACACTTTTTAAAAAGCATTATTGTTTAAAGTTACCTACTATATGTAACTCGAAGGACTCAATCTTGATATGAAACACCGAAATGCTAACTTTAGCAGCAGTAGTCTGTATGTGCATTTACCAAAAAAAAAAAAAAAGAGCTATGTTTAAAAAGACAGCATCTAGGATACAGTTCTTCTTAAAGATACCTTTAAATGCAAAGCAAAGTTCTTGGACAGTAAAATACAATTGTGTACCCCGTATGGAAACTGATTTCCCAATGATGAAATCTGCTAAATTATGTCTGGTTTCATAAAGTTTTATATCTCAGCTATAAAGTGAGATGAAGATAAAAGCGATCTTAAAAAAAAAAAAAAAAAAGTTTTACCTCTGGGCATGATATGCCGATTGTACTTCCCCAGAGCCGGGAATTCAAAAAGCTTGGTTTCACCAGCATTGAGTGTTTATTAAATTAGGTGACACTCTGAAATCGATCACCAATCTTTATCACAAAAGAGTAAACCTTAGCTTTTAGAACCACGTTTGGTTGCAAAGGAAACAATCCCAGAGAGTAAAATAAATTAATAAATAAATAAATAAATAAAGCAGCTTATCCAATTGTATACGCACTTCTCCCACACGCCGAACTTTTTAAGATGAATTGTAAAGCCGAACACCTTATATTCTTCCAGCAGCGAATAATTACAGCGAGTGTTCTTCCAAGATAAGATCAGGTCTCCCGTAAAATTTCCGATAGTTTTAAACTGAAAAGCTACGACACCGCGGCCGAAGGTGCCTTTCGTATCCCTATATCCTGAGATTGCATCTAGTACATATCCTTTGTCACATATAAAATATACCTCACATATAACATGCTAACCGCTATCTAGTGTTTCCATTAACACTCGCGCCATTAGAGATGTTTCACAGAAATTTTTGCCTTGCATCATCTTTTGTAAAATCAGTAAGAAACCTCATAGTCAAAATACGTATTTCGCATCCACAGGACGGCCAGCCTTCCCATTTTTGTCTTCCCCCTCTAGCCTAACACTTTCAGGCGCATGATGTTAACACCTCAGCTGAACGCCCGCCGCTACTCCAATTACCCACCGCGCTACACGCTTCCGCCCTTACACGATTATAATGATCTCCAAAAGGTATTTTAAAAGTCCTATACCTTTTTCCTTCAGCCGTTATGACTTAAACGTTGAGAACTGAGGGTCAGGGATAAGGCGAAATCTCAGGAAGAGGAAAGGCGGAAGGTGGAAAGGAGTCCTGAGGCCTAAAGAAAGAACTAGAAGCTTAGGGCGCCAACGGAAACCCTCATGCTCTCTTTAGATTAACTTTGCGCGCGAAAACAGCTTCCAGAGAGAGACAGAGGGTGGGACCTCTTGCTCTCAAGCGCTGCAACGCCCCCAGGCGACGGGCGCCCAACCTAACCGACGCTGCTCAACGCCGCCATTGTGGCGTAGCCCAAGCCCCGCCCCTCGCCGCGTGCACACGGCTCTGCCCCTTGCGGACCAGGAGCAGAAACAGGAAGTGAGACGGCAACCCGAGGAGCTTGGGCACTGGGCGGTCTGGACCAGGCCGGGGCTCTTAGCCATTGCTCTGGGCAGTCTCCTGCTGCGGAAAGCTGCGGGACTGTGTTGAATATGGAGAGTATCCTTTGCCGTCCGAAAAACTGCGGCTGGGGCCTAGGGAACGGCAGAAGGGCTGGGGTTCCGGCGGGGGGCGCCTGGTGGTGACCATTTCTGTCCAGTTGAAGAGTGATGGCACCGGGAAATGTGGACCCTGGGAGGCAGAGTAAGGGCCCAAGTGATTGGGTTCCTGCCATCCACAAAGGAGACCTGGATTCACTTCCCAGTTCCTGGCTTTGGCCAGGCCCAATCCTGACATGATGGAATGAATGAGCAGATGGGGTCTCTCTGCCTCTAAAATTTAATTTGTCTGTCTGTATGCCTGCAAGATTTGAAAAGTAAATGTCAACGGAATACAAAGCAGTCATATAGAGGTAATATTTTTAAAAACATGCTGGGAGGGGCCGGCACCCTGGCTAACTTGATTAATCCAACACCTGCGGTGCAGGCATCCCCTAGGGCGCCGGATTCTGTCTGGTTGCTCCTCTTCCAGTCTAGCTCTCTGCTGTGGTCCGGGAAGGCAGTGGAGGATGGCCCAGCTGCTTGGGCGCCTGCACCCGCGTTGGAGACCAGGAAGAAGTACCTGGCTCCTGGCTTCGGATCAGCACAGATTACCGGCCATAGCGACCATTTGGGGGGTGAGCCAATGGAAGGAAGACCTTTCTCTTTGTCTCTCTAACTCTGCCTGTCAAATAAAAGAACATGCTGGGAGCTACAAAAGGGAAAAACTCTGATGCCTAATGCCACTTCTTCACATGAGATGAATGGATAAATAATCCCATTACTTTTGTTTTTTTCCAGGCATGTGTTGGTGGAACATTATTCTTTATCCTTCCTCTTACCTCCTTTTTTGAACCTTTACTTCTATGCATGCAGCAGATTGCATAAACCTGATCTTGGCATTTGAAATGAAATAGGATCTGCCCTACTATGTTTGGATAACTTATTTCAATGATACATTGGAACATGAGATTTCTACCATACATTTCCCTTTTTTAAAATTTATTTATTTGAATGGCAGAGTAACAGGGAGAAGGAGAGACAGTGAGAAAGAACGTGCTTCCATTTGCTGGTTCGCTCCCAATATGGCTGCAAAGGCCAGGGCTCGGCCAGGCCGAAGCTAGGAGCCTTGAACTCCATCCAGGTCTCGCATGTGGGTGGCAGGGACCCAAGCACTGGGCCATCTTCTGCTGCTTTCCCCATCATATGAGCTGGGAGCTGGATTAGATGTGAACTAGCCAGAAATCAAACCAGCGCCCGTGTGAGATGCCAGCCTTGCAGGTGGCAGCCCAACCCACTGACTGTAACACAATGCCTGCCCCAGAGATTCCTTCTGTAAATTTCTATAGTAAATGACCAATGATTTTTCTGCAGGAGGAAGACTGAATTGAATTTGATCTTAAAACAAGGCTGCTTTAATATACCCAATGTGTATGTTGAACTCTAAAGATTTGTTTTTATTGAAATTTTACTGCAATAATTAATACATATATGGATGTTTTGGAAGCACTGTAAAAATACTGTCATGCGCCTGTCATCACAGTAACTGCAACTACATAGAATGTTTTAAGGAGACATTTTGACTTTTGATTTCGTTTCTAACCGTATTGCCCAGTTAAGATAGGTGAATTTGCAAAGTCTTGAGGAGATAATTTTAAAGCTATCATTTACTGAACACCTACTGTAGGGTAAACATTGTTTTGGAGATTTGTATACATTATGTCAAATCCTTAATGCAATGCTTTATGACAAGTCATATGATCTCCATTTTATGGAAGAGGAAATCAAAGCTCAGAAAGCCACAGTTTGTAAACAAAGAGTAAAAGATTTGGCTTGACTCCAAAATCTGTTCTGTTTTTACAGTGCTTCCAAAAGGTACAGCACAAGACACGTTTGACAGAGTTCTAAGTGTCTTGGAGAGCTACTTTTTCTGTGTATTGATATTCCACTTGAGATTTTGCTTTAAGAGGTGTTAGAAAAAACATGCATTTACACAATCACTTCTGGGAAGACCTAGCCTAGATTCTCCTGAAGATGTGTCTTATTCACAGACATTCCCTATTAAAAGGTACATCTATTTAGTGCAATGCTTAAAATTTATCTGCTTGACAGAGTTACAGAAAGAGAGGGCTGGGGAGAGTGAAAGAGAGAGGTCTTCCATCTACTGGTTCACTCCGGAAATGGCCACAGTCGCTGAGGCTGGGATAGTCTGAAGCCTGGAGCCTAGAACTCCGTCCAGGTCTGCACTTGGGGGCAGGGACCCTAGGGACTGGGTCCATCTTCGACTGCTTACCCAGGCGAATTAACAGGGAGCTGGATCAGAAGTGTAGCAGCCAGGACTCTAACCAGTGCCCATATAGGATGCTGGCATCAGGCAACAGCTTAACCTGCTCTACGACAACAGCAACCCCTGTTAGAATGTTTTAAATTTTGATTTTCAGAAATTGGAAGGTGGGAATTACTACTTCCTGAAAATTTGAAATAATGATAATGTTCAGATGATTCCTTCACTTCCTTGTATATCAATCCCAAAGGTCTAAGTGATTGAGTTTTTTTGTTGAGGTGGTTGTTTTTTTTTTTTTTCATAGATTTTACCATATAAGGAAAACCTGCTGTCATTAGTGGAGATCTTTAAGCCCACTTCAGAATCACTGTTAGTGTTTTTATATGCTAAAAACCATTCATGGTGGTCTGTAATCCTAACAGAGGCTGGATAAATCCAGCCCAGGCAAGTAAATTGCTCTGGATAAAAATCCTACTATTACCTAGATTAGGCATTAAAAAGACAGGAATTGTGAGTGAGAGAACTGGGTATTGCCCTAGTGCCATCTGTAACTGACCATGGTGAGCTCTCTGTTCCATCTTTCGTTTTAAGTCAGAACTTACTCTCAGTTATTCTGTGTTCTAACATTTTTTCTTCCTGTAATTTATTGGACCTGCAAGTATTAGCAATTGAGAGAGCTGACTATAAGGCACAGTTACATAGACAGTAGTACCAACTGACAGCCTGGTATCAAAGCAGAAAAAAACCTATCCATTACATCAAAAACAGTTATTAACAGCTATGATATAGATCCTGAGTGATGAGGAAAATGTACCATTTTGTCATAATTACTCAAAGGAAGAATGTAAGTTATTTTGAAAGTTGTATCAAAATTGTTTGGAAATGGTTTATGCTTTTAAAAAGTGAACTCTAACCGTAGCTAAAAAAATAATATTATTTATAATGCTATAGTAGTTGAGAATGTTATTTAAGTATGGTATTAAAATTAGCTAGTAGCAGCAGCAAGGACAGCAATAGGAGTAATCTACTGTATCTTTGAGAAAGTTACTTTTGAGATAGAGGATTTAATTTTGCAGCAAAGAATGATGAAGCAGAGTGGGCATTGTCTTGCAGCGAGTCAAGCTGCCACTGGGGATGGCCGACCCCCGTCAAAGAGCCAGTTTATTTAGTGACAACTCTGTTTATGATCCAGTTCCCTGCTAATACACCCTGTGAGGCAGCAGATGATGACCCAAGTACGTGGGGCTCTGCTCTGCCCATGTCTGAGACCTGGATTCAGTTCTAGGCTCCTGCCTTTGCCTGGCCAAGCCCTATGTCATGCTGACATTTGTGGAGTGAACCAGTGGATGGAGAACAGATCTCTCTCTTTCTCTCTTTTTCTCTTTCTCTTTGGTTTCTCCCTCCCCACCTACTTCTCACAAGCACAGTGTCTTTTTCTGCATTCAAGGAAATAAAATCAAATTTTTTGAAAGGATGAGTACCACTATCAAATATATCCCTATGTTATCTATGTCACCCAAGCAACTTATAATACCCTGAGAATTTCTGTGCTTTATCAGTAAGCTGGAAATCCAAACATTCTTTTTTTTTCTTGAGATTTACATAGATTAATTAGAGTCAAAGTCCTCCAGCCAGAGCAGCATGGTGGGGGGCTTATAAGAGAGGAAAAAACCCAAAGGGGCTAGTGATAGTGGGGCTTTTATGTACAATTTAGAAGGAAAAAAAACTTGAAAATCAGATTGGCATTCAGTTACCAGGTGGGGACAAAACCCCTCAAAAGGCTTGATTTACAATTCTTCATCCTGTCTGGCTTGCTCCTGATAAAACAAAAAAACATCCAGAAGGGTGGGATAGGTAACTTGTTTTCACAAGCTGTGAGCTCAGGAAGAGCTCCCTTGTTATTTTCATAATCCAAACATTCTTAGGACCAAAACCTTGCTTCTTAACTCAGGTAGTTTATATAACCAGAGTATGATATTCTTAAATTTTGAATTTACATGTCTGCTATTCAAATAATTATCTTCTATGTATACTACTAGAGTTGAATATATCTACATTGAAGTGGTCAAAATAGATTGCTGATGTAGAAAATAATGGCACTGGGGGCCAGCATTGTAGCAGAGCAGGTAAAGCCAATGCATGTGACCCTGGCATCCCACATGAGTGCCAGTTAGACTCCAGAGTGCTTCACTTCCAATCCAGCTCCCTGCTAATGGACTGGTAAAGCAGCAGCAGATGACCTAAGTCCTTGGGCTCCCGAACACACCTGGGAGACCCAGAAATAGCTCCTGGATCCAGCTTCAGTCTGGCCCAGCCCTGGCTTATTGTGGCCATTTGGGGACTGAACTTTTGGATTTAAGATCTTTCCTCCCTTTTCCCCTCACTCCTTCCCTCTTCTCCTCCTTTTTCCTCTCTGTCTTTGTAACGCTGACATTCAAATAAATAAAATAACAAAAAAAGGGTGGCTTCCGTTCAGCTACTAAATTGAGCTATGAATTAAGAGTTGGAATGCTGTGCAGTATTTTCTAGACATTTTAGTTGGCTGTTAATTCCTGCAGTATTTTTATCTTTTACAAAATAATAGTGATAGAACAGTTTCCTTCATTAGCTAATCACAAATTTAGTCTGGCAGACTGGTTTCTGTTAAGATAGCTTTGGTTTTTCTTTGGCTCCTGAAAGGAGTGACTGTAATATTTTCTTTTTGATGAACTAAAAGATTACAATAGCTGAACAATGAA